ACATAATTCAGAAAGAAAATGGAAGGAAAAAATACTAATATATATATATATATATATATATATATATATATATAAGTGGTGATTAGCGGTCATAATATCTTGTCATCTCAGGCATATGATTAGTGGTGTTAAACATAAGGAGAGAGACTTGTCTTAGGTGAGAATGACACCCAGCGTGATTTGAATAACATCGGATGTGAGACCATTGAGAGGTCTTTGACTTGGTGACGCTAGACTCCAAGTTGAGTGACACCTAACATGACCAAGCCAAAACTCTACCTAGACGTACAACATCGGGTGCCAATGTGGCGACGCCAAATGTGAATTAGGTAGAGACTATTTGCTTGAAATGAGGTAAGGCATGAAACATTACCATGCTATGTGTGAGGTTTTAAGGACCTCTATCTTATCCACGTTGGACACGAGTTATGTAGCATTGGGCGTGGGTGAGATAAAAAGTTGCTTGCCTTGATGGCGTTAGGCGTAAGGTGTGTGATGTTGGGCACTAGTTACTTGATGAAAACTAATTGTTTAATTTCACAATTTGTGAACATGAGTATAGTAGATTAATCTATTGCATATTTTAAGAGACTATGTTGTTTATTCTATATACATTGATATAGGTTAGTATCTAGAGAGGGTTGATGGTTGAAATTTGAAAGTTGAGTTGAGTGTATGTTGTGGATTTGTGTAACTATGAACACGTTTTATGCATGTTGTGCTATGTTGTTGAGATGATGAATGTTTAAAAGCTTTTGGCATTTAAGCATGGTATAGTAAATTGTGTTGATCAACTTAGGATTAGTGGAGATGTTGTTTTACAAGTTGCATATTTCATTGTATAGATTTTGTCTTATGGTGTTTTGAGACTCCTTTTAAAAAAAAAATCCTTCTTGAAAAGTTGACCCTTAAAGAGATAGTTGAATCTCTTATAGGACCATAGTTTTTACTATACGTGGACAAGGTCAATACATACATGTATAAAACAATCATAGTATAAGGGTCAAGTTGAACTATATTGATTATAAGTGATCAATTGAGTAAAATATGAAGTTGAAAACTTAATTTCTAATCAAGTATCGAAATAGTGTACCATTTGAAGGGTAGTCAGTAAGATAATCTCATAGGGGACCTAGTTAAATTAGCTAATGTCATGGTATGCTCATAACTAGCTATTATACCTTACTGGAATACTAGACTTCCTTGTTTAAGCGATTACATCTGATAAACCAAGTTATTGTGATGTAGATTAATATCCATTTTGTTGTTGATCTAATAAGTCTAAAAAAATCATATTGAGTTGTTGGTTTGATAAGGTTAAATCACTTAAATTGTTCACCCTATATTATAAAAAATTTTCAAAAATTTTTTCTAGTTAAAATACATAACGATACATATAATTATTGTACTGTAAATATTATGCATTGATCAAAAATGTTAACCATTGATATAATAATGTTCTAGTTGATATTATACTATGATAGACCGAATTGTTTATGTTTATTTAAAGTGCATCAACTTTATTTATAATTATGACTATAATAAAAGAGGTTTGACATTTTTATATTCACAATTTTTATTCGATGTCACTCGAAACTATTTTAATTCCTTATTATAAATTCACTTTATGTTTACTCATATTTTCAATTAATTTACTATTATATAATTTTTTATTTTTAAAATTTTACGAAAACACATAATACTATTTGACATTATTGAGACTTATTACTTTCTATCTTTATACATAAGATTTTTTTTAATATTTTATATTTATTATTTTTTATTGTTAGTTGTATTAATTAATTTTTATTTAATTAATAATTCTTTTAAGCGAACATAATAAATGTTTACAATTTATTGAATAATAATTTTGTTTTTTTTTATTAAGATTAAAGTATATATAAATATATATATATATATATATATATATTTAT